ATTTTTAGCTCCCACCAATAAGTGAGAACATGTGGTATTTCTCTTTCTGTGCCTGACTCATTTCACTTAATATAATTCTCTCAAGGTCCATCCATGTCGTTGCAAATGGCAGTATTTCATTCGTTTTTATAGCTGAGTAGTATTCCATTGTGTAGATATACCACATTTTCCGTATCCACTCATCTGAAGATGGACATTTGGGTTGATTCCAGCTCTTGGCTCTTGCCAGCATTTCTTATTCTCAGTCTTTTTGATAATGGCTAGTCTAACTGGGGTGAGATGATAGCTCAATGTGGTTTGATTTGCATAAAATAGTAAATTTATGTCATGTGTATTTTAACACAGTGAACAACAACAATAGTAGCAAGAGAAGCAGAGAGGATTAAATGGTGCCAAATTCATAAGATTTTGTATTGTTGATAAGGTAATAAATGCTGTAATTTAATGTGGACTCTAGTGAAGTATGCACTTCACTACCATAAGAGATAATAATGAAGATTTTAATACTATGGTTTATTTTTTATTTTATTTTAATTATTATAAAAGATAATAATAAGAGAATTATTAAAAGTGTATAATTTAAAAAGTAATGGAGAAGATAAAATGAAATAAGAAATACTAGATTAATCCAAAAGAGTCTGAGATATATAAGGATGAGAAAATACTCTATAATTGCATAAAACACACAGCGTTTTCTGTCACAAATCAGGTTCCTAAATAAAGGTACATTGAGAATATTCTACTCTCCTGTCCAGGTGGAGAAATGTTTGAAAATACATCTTATCATTTTTTCTTCACTAGAAGAGTCTTTTAAGTACCTAGACTTCAAATATTGTTGCAATCTTCAATGAAACCAGATATTTTAACTAATAATTTTCTACCCTAGAAATAACATTTTGACAAATATTTTTCTTAAGCTATAAATTGTAAGTTTATTTGTTAAGGTACTTGAAGAACTTTGGCATTTTATTGTTCTCCCTTTATGCAAAGTTTCCTTGGTAGATGCACTGCTCTTAACTGGAACTGGAAGTGCTGAAGATTTATGACTGTCTTTGGTATTCTTTAACTCAATACTTGTATTTTTTTTCCTATTTCTGTAGTTTCTATTCTGCCCAGGACCAGAGAGGTTTACTGCTGAATTCTACCAAACCTTTAAAGAAGAATTAATACCAGTTCTCCTCAAGCTATTCCAAAAGTTGAAACAGAGACCATTCCCCCAAACTCATTCTATGAGGCAAACAACACCCTGCTACCAAAACCAGACAAAGATACAAAAAGAAAAGAAAAGAAAAGAAAACTATAGGCCAATACCTTTGATGAATATAGATGCAAAAATCCTCAATAAAATCTTATCAAATAGAACACAGCATCACATTAAAAAATTATACACCATGATCAAGTCGGATTCATCCCAGGGATGCAAGGATGGTTTCAACATATGCAGTCAATAAATGTGATACACCACATCAGCAAAATCAAGGATAAAAACCATATGACTACCTCATATGTTGAAAAAGCATTTGACAAAATTCAACATGCCTTCATCATAAAGACTCTCAGCAAATCAGGTATAGAAGGAAAGTATGGTCATAGTCTGAAGTTAGGAGAAAGAAGAAAATAATAAAAATCTGAGCAGAAATAAGTAAAATAAAGATCAGAAAAACAATAGAAAAGATCACCAAAACTAAGATTTGTTTTTTTGAAAAGATAAACAATATCAGCAAACTTTAGCTACACTAAGAAAAAGACAAAAAAAAAAAAAAAAAAAAAAAAAAAAACCCCATCAGCAGAAACAGTTAGCCTGTTGGAATGGTGGAATGGTCCAGTAAAATCTCAGCTAAAAATGAGTTAGGAGCAAACACTCTGAAAAGATTAGATTATATCTTTTGAGAAGCAGAATATGCTCTGAATCAGCAATTAATATATGGTTCTGTTTTCCCATAGTCCGAATACGAAGGTCCATGAATCAAGATGTAGAAGTGGGAATAAATTCTCCCCTCCTGCCACACTGATTTTTGCTCATTTGGAAGTCTTAGTTACCAAGAGGAAAATGCTTCCACTAGGGAAAATAACATTGTTTCAGCTGATTTGAAAGCTAAAACTGTCTGACCATTTTGGGTTCCTTATGCCTCTGAAGCAATAAGCATGAGGTTATCGTACTGGCTGAGAAAACTGATCCTGATTGCTAAAGGGGAATGAGGTTGCTCTTGCACAAAGAGATATGGATGACTATGTCTGCAATACAGAAGGTTTTCTGAAGTGCTACTTAATCCTTCCTGTCCAATAGTAGAAGTAAATATAAAACTCTGGAACTGAAAAAAGCAAGGCCTCTGAAGATTTGAACCCATCAAGAATGAAGGATTATCCCTACATCATCCACCAGGTAGATAATCCTTATCCAGTGAGGTTCTAGATGAGAAAAAATAAAATGTAGAATTGGTAGTAGAAAAAGGAAGTTACAAATATCGCTTGTAGCCTCATTACCAAACACAAACACTGGGAAACAGACATTGGGAAGCTAAGCATATTTTCTTACTTTCTGTCAAAATTTCTTTTCTTTCCTCCCTCTCTGCTCTCAAGGTTTTTTGTTTTGGGGGGCTTTTCGTAGGGGTGGGGGCAAGACAGAGACTTTAGAAAAGAAGAGGAGAGGGCTTTTTCTTTCGCATTCAGAAGGTGGAGCCGTGTGTTTGCAATCCTCCTGTGCAGCGTGTTCTTAGGAAGTCATTGTGAAGAGGCTGAGGCAACAATGTCATGCGGAAATCAGACCCACAGAGGGAGCAGCCACTTTTAGAGCTTCTCATTGCACAGATCAGAGCTCCTGCAGCAGCTCAAGTTCACCACATAGACATCCCACCTCATGTTTTTCACATCAGCACAGTTCTTTATGCAGCCCAGGAAGGTCAACCAGGGAGTCCCATCCTCTGTGGAAGGGAAGAGAAACAGGTCAGCAAGACTGGCCTTGAGGCTTCTGCAGAGAAACGTCTCTCCAGCCCACCCCAGCATGTAAAACTATCCCTGTGGAGTTCAAGGCTCTGTTATCCAAATGTGAAGAATTGCAAGATGTTCAAAGTTGGGGCCTCCTCCCTAACCAAAAAGCAACAATGGAGCAATTTAAAAAATTATTGCGGTAGGGAGGTAATGAGAGAAGCAATTCAGGGATTGCAAAAGCTGGATGTTTCTATTCAAAATCTTAACACTGGTTTAAGTTAGGGTTATAAATGCCAAGGGATTGTTAGCACAAAGGGTGGGAAAATAGACACATCATGATGTCTGTCTTACCCATCAGGGCCATATAGTCAGTGCTTATTGCTGAGACTGACCCTCCACTTGCACAGTTTAGAACCCTCCATAGGAAGTCCAGGTGGGCACAAAGACAAAAGCTGCCCTCCCCACCCCAACAGCTAGTGTAAATGATATCTTTTCTTTCACCTCAACTCAGTCTCCTCTGTTGTCTTCAGGCTTCTCAAAATGCTGTTTTCTTAGCTACATACCCCACCCCTTAGTGTTCACCTCCATCTATTTTTCATAATGGCATGTGAGCAGGTGACCGTATCAGTCATCCCAGACGTGGTCTACCTATAGTAAAAGTGAAGTAAGGTCCCCCTCTTTTCATCATAGCTGGTATGTCTCTGTCTGCTTCCTCTGTCTCCTCTTCCTTTCCCCCACCCACAACTTACTTTTAAAGATTCTCCCAACTGCGCAGGCCTCGTCTGTTGTTGCAATACATGTTCCTCTTCCTTTGTAACACTTTTCTCCTGGGAACTGGAGGTGACACATCCTACACTGAACAATATTGATGACTTGGCCAGAGAGTAGGAAATGAGAAAAGAGAGAAGATGTCACTATGTCACTTCCATGAAAGGACCCATCTCCCCTTTCAGGTTCAAGGTCTGCTTGGAGCCAGAGAGCTTGGTCAGAGCCCCATTAAGCCTGAACATCTGCCTCTATTAAAATAGGCTAAGCTGAGAGGGTGACTGAAGTTTATGGTCTCAGGAAAAGGGGAGGGGAAAGAAAAGAGGAGGGAAAAAGAAAAGAGGAACATCATCAGGACTGAGATGATCAGGTTATGTCCTCTTCATGCTCACCAGAATAATTCTTTTCATCAACAATTACTTCAACTGTGCTGGCAAAGAAAAATAAAACAAATATGCAATTTTGTCTGAGATTTCCCCCTGCATAGGGCCCTTAAGAGTCCTTCCTGCACTCTTGACCTGGAGCCATTCTAGACCATTCTGTCCCTTCAAAGCCTACTGTTGACTCACAGCATCTCTGCACCTCTTCTCTTCTTCCAATTCTCTTCAGTTCTTTAGGGTTTCTCACACTCCCCTACCCATCCCTGTATGCTGCAGCACAGACCAGAAGTAAGGAAGATGAATGCACAATTTTTCTTTCCTCATTCTCTTCTTTTTAATTCACCCTATGTGGCATCCTCTCCCATGTGTGCCTGGAACCCAGCAATGGGGATGAGCATCTAAAATTCATGAATTGCTACTCTTTAGATTTGGCCAATTAGTGCCTGTAAGGTCAACATTCTACTTTTTCCTTTCTTTTTTTTCTTGCCCTTCATGACACTCACCCCTAGCCATGAGTTGCTGCTAACGTTATCTCATCAAATCTAAAATTGGCTCCCACCCCAGCCTCTCCCGCTGAAACTCAAGGTCTATCTCTACCACCCTACCCCATTCACTTCCTCCCTCCTCCAACCACTCATCTGTTTCTACTCACCTGCATTACCTCTGTCTAAAAATGACCCAGACAGTACTGTTGAAAGAAAAGATACATTCTCTGTAGACCTCATGTTCCAAACCTTGTTTTACAGCATCTAAGAAAATTATCTCAATCCCTCTCCTATCCACTTATTTCCTCCTAGAAGGGTAGGGCTAAGGGCTTTGATTAAGGTCGCGGAGACATGACACATTGTGAGTACACGGCACGGCATTAGAATGACAGCTCATCACAGATCCATTACCATATGGCTCCCATAAGAGGGCCTCTGTCATGGGGCCCATGACCCACTCACCAATTGACAGCCTCAGAGACTCACCCCTAAAGCAGCAGAGCAGAATGGGGAGCTCCAGCAGGAAGAACTTGTCCATTTTTCGGAAGTGGAGGACCAGACTAGGGCAGAAAGCTTCAAGAGTACCTATTTATACACCTGCAAGGTTGGCCTTCCCCAGGAAGGGTAAGGGGTGGGGACACTGGGGAAGTCCTTGAAAGGTGTTTCCTGCTCCTAGGGAAAGTGGTGACTCTGTAATTTCTCTTCCTGGCAATTTGGGGGAAGAGAGACTAACTAGGTAAGTCCTGGACTTGATTTATGCCAGTCCTGCCACTTAGGATTTTTAATGTAAAGTTCTGTGGTCTTTTCACCATATCACACTGTGCAAGAACACAAGGATAAATAAAGGATGGGTGGGTAGGATTCAGAGTCATCTACATCAAGGTGCTCATTAAAGCTGAGAGAATACATGGGCACAGATAATTGGAATGCATACAGGCAAAAAGAAAGCTGAGCACAGAGCTTTTAAAAAACATATACCTCTAGGGAATGGAGAAGAGAGGAGTTGAAAAGGTCAGGCTCAGAGGCATTGACAGAGGATCCTCACGAAGGGAGTGAAGTTTTCCAGTATCATTCATCCCCAAAAGAAGCAGACCCTGGGGTAGAACATAAAAGCCGAGGAGGAAACTGCTTCCCTTTCTTGGAGTTTCCTGGTAGTTGAGACAGAGAATTTAGTTAGGAGAGAGAGTATAATACTACTTCTCCTGGAGGAGGGTAAGCGGGTCGTTCTCACTTGATGTCAGGCCAGATTATTAGGCAGGGAGGTGGCTAAATGCAAAACTCCTGTAGATTGAACATGTGGATTCTAAGAGGAGCCATATCTAGTATCTCTTTCTAAGTTTTTTGTTAGTTGCCTTTAGTTATTGCCCTGCCTATGGTAAATTGTACCAGAGTTTGCAGCTTACTCTCTGCTGTCATCGCAGAGAATTGAGAGAAGGGTTTGTGCCCATGCTTAGGGCAAAGCAGTACAGGGGAGACAAACAGCAACTGGAAGAAAGCAGCTTGCAATAGGGCGCAATGTAGGTCTACTGCAACGTGGGATTAGTCTAAGCTAGATGTCGGCTGAAGTGGCAGGGGAAAACAAGAGTGTAGAGGAGATTTTTAGATCTGCGATAGTTTGGAGGTTATTATTATATACAAAATGAGAAAACTGGAATTCCCGTACAGGGAGGAATAGAGATATACACTAGCTAACTGCTTACATGGGGCACCTGCTACTCTGTTGAAGTTTTAAAATAACGCTACTGAGTATCAATGTATTGCACACACACTCGACAGTACTGTTTTTTGTGTCCTGCATATTCACTGGCAGATCTTCTCACTGCCCTGAAATCTAGCATCTTCTCTTATGTCTTCACATTCCTTTCTCCTACCTTTTGAGATGTCCCCTCCTTTTCTTCCAGGAATTCCATATTTATTTAATTTTTTGCCTAATGGCAGCCCATGAGAAAAGAGGAAGCATTCTCCTCCTCTGCCCTGTTAGAAACTGTCTCCTCACCTAATTACACTTCTATGATATTATCACACCACTTCCCCTGCAGCAGAAGTTTCCTCCTCCCAGCTGTACTTATCCACCTGGATACCGTGGTTATGTTTGAACCCTATTTTATTGACTGAATTTTCTCCTAAAATCTCTCCAAGGGTCGACCCCGTGGCGCACTTGGGAGAACGCGGCCCTGGGAGTGCAGCACGCTCCCGTGGAGGGTTCGGATCCTATAGAGGAATGGCCGGTGCGCTCACTGGCTGAGCGCAGTGCGGACGACACTGCACCAAGGGTTGCGATCCCCTTACCGGTCACAAAAAAGACAAAAAAAAAAATCTCTCCAAATTCATACTCCCTGTGTCAGTGGCCCTAATACCTGATTTTCTTACTGGGTTCCACTCTGCTCCTTTTCTGCATGCCACTAATCGTTTTTTCTTATCACCTTAAAGCACCCCCAAATAGTTCTGCTTATGTCATAAATTTCAGATCCATGATTTAGTAAAAGTATTCAGGAATCTCTTTTGCCCTATCACTCTGAATCTTATTTAAGTCTCAAATCCCTTTATTCATGATGTCCCCCTCTCCAAAACAGAGCTCTGGAGGTCCAGTTAGTCCAGAAGAGTCAGCTCTAGGTTATACTTCAACTCTGAGAGTGACTAGATACTTAATTTTATCTCTGTGTGTGTGACTAGAAGATGTTTCCATTATTGACTGGTGGTTTTAGTTTACATCTTCAATGTTGTCATGCAAATCAATGAAAATAATACCTCTTGAATGGAAATCCACCTTACAATCAGTTATTACTATTTTTCAAAGAAATAGATTTACTCTTCACAGAGCATATAGCAAAACATCCTGAGATTTATTGGTGATGGAGATGTTTTCACATAATGATCCTTTTGAATAGGTTAATGGGGCTGGTGGCGAGTACCAGGGTTTGAGGAAAGAGATCTCAACTTAGGCAAATCCCACATATGACAAAGAGGGTAAACAAGATGAAGAACCATAGCTACTGTTCCAAAGCAGCACAATGGCCTTAGGTCACTGGAGTGTTCCCAGTACCCACAGAAATGATACTTGTGCTCTGGTAGGCAAAGAACAGTTTCTTCTCTGTCCAAGTTTGAAGGAATGGTCACATCAGAACAGCCTGTCTCTTTCCCATTAGGCAAGTGAACAGCACAGATCTGGATGACTAGAATTAGATAAAACCAGAGTAGTTCTTCCCTCTTGTGAAACATGAAAGACAAAGGAAATATCCAGACAATATTTTCAGATCCAAGAAAGAACATAAAAGTGTCTCTGGGGAGCCTTTCTGTTTGTGTTCTTTTCTATCATGAGGCTCGCCATTTCCTAGGGTTTTCTGGGAATCTCAGAATTGTTCAATATGTCCACAAGTCCCTACATACTTCCTTCCTATTGTGTTGAGGGTTAGATGAGATATCATGGACATGGAAGTAACTAGGGAGGGAGATCTAGCAAAGAAGTAGCCAATAATTTATCTATCATTTCTATTACAGATTAAATTAAAATTTCTAGACTTTCAATATGCTGTATAAAAAAACCCAGTTATAGCCCTGAGAACTCCTTCCAAGGGTGACATCAGCTAAGAGAAATTAAGGGTTCTTTCATTACCTTTCATGGTAAATTCACCAGTACATGCAGGCCATGTCTGGAGACCTCTTTACAAACTTCCAGCACCCCCTGGGAGGCACTTAGCTATCTGTACTGCTGAGTTTCCTACATATTTTTTAAATGTCTCCCTCTAGACTATAAATGTAATATCTCTGTGTTCAGGGAGGCTTTCCCTGACCAGCTTACCTAAGCAGTTTCCCCCTTGTTATTTTGTGTGTGTGAGAGAGAGGGAGAGGGAGGAAGTGTGTGTGTGAGTGTGTGTGCAGCTATAGGGTTTTTATATTGGGGATATATAATACACATACCAAAAAGGTTGTAAAACATAAATTCATATCTTAAATTATTTTAAAGCAAACTATGCAACTGTAAACCAGTTCAGGAAACTGAATATCGGCCAAACCAATACACCAAGTGCTTCTTCCTAGCTACAAACTTTTTCCCTCATCTAGTGGAAAGCATTATCTTTTATTTTATGGAATCTAGCCATTTTATAGTTTTACCACACTATGTTTTTGCCTGTTTTGAATATTGATATAAGTGAAATCATATAGTATATATTCTAAGAATTATTCATGGTTTTGTATGAAGCTTTATAGTATTTCATTACATGAATATTATGGCTAAGAATTTTCCAGCACTAATAGAAAACATTAACCCAGAGATTTAAGAATCCCCCAAAATCCTAAGTAGGAACATACATTGGGGAAAAAACTGCCTCTTCAATGAATGGTGCTGGGAAAATTGGATATCCATATGGAGAAGAATGAAACTGGACCTATACCTCTCACCATATACCAAAATCAGATCAAAATGGATTAAAGACTTAAGTACGAGACCTGAAACTATTAAACTACTCAAAGAAAACACAGGGGAAACACTTCAGGAAGAGGACTGGGCAAAGACTTTATGAATAAGACCCCAAAAGCACAACAACAAAAGAAAAAATAAACAAATGGGATTATATCAAACTAAAAAGTTCTGCACAGCAAAGGAAACAATCAACAGAGTGAAAAGACATCCTACAGAACGGGAGAAAATATTTGCAAACTATGCATCTTACAAGGGATTAATTTCTAGAATATACGAGGAATTCAAACATCTTCACAGTAAGAATACAAATAATCCAATTAAAAATGGACAAAGGAACTGAATAGACATTCTTCAAAAGAAGACATAAAAATGGCCAACAGGTACAGGAAAAAATGCTCAGCATCACTAATCGTCAGGGAAATGCAAGTCAAAACCACATTGAGATACTATCTCACCTCTGTTAGACTGGCTGTTATAAAAAGACAGAATAACAAATGCTGACAAGAATGTGAAGGAAGGTGGCCGGCCTGTGGCGCACTGCTGCAGTTCCCGCTCACTGGCTGAGTGAGGTGTGGGCGCAGCACCGAGGGTTGCGATCCCATTGCCGGTCCCGGTCCGGTACGGGCGTGGGGTTCGGATCCCACATTCAGTCCGGTTCCCGCTCACTGGCTGAGTGAGGTGTGGGCGCAGCACCGAGGGTTGCGATCCCATTGCCGGTCCCGGTCCGGTACGGGCGTGGGGTTCGGATCCCACATTCAGTCCGGTTCCCGCTCACTGGCTGAGTGAGGTGTGGGCGCAGCACCGAGGGTTGCGATCCCATTGCCGGTCCCGGTCCGGTACGGGCGTGGGGTTCGGATCCCACATTCAGTCCGGTTCCCGCTCACTGGCTGAGTGAGGTGTGGGCACAGCACCGAGGGTTGCGATCCCGTTGCCGGTCCCGGTCCGATACGGGCGTGACACTGAGGGTTGCGATCCGTTGCCGGACACAAAAAAAGACAAAAAAAAAGGAAAAAAAAAAAGAATGTGAAGGAAGGAGAAGTCTTCTATACTGTTGGTGGGACTATAGATTAGTGCAGCTATTATGGAAAACAGTATGGAGGTTTCTCTAAGAAGTA